ATTATCACTATTGTTATTGTTGTTCCAAGTCATTTCATGAAATGACATCAGGTAAAAAAGCTATTAAGATCAACTTACTACTGCATATCTGTTTCTTCCCTATCTGGGACTCGTCTTGGGTACTCACCTTTTATGTGGGATGTGAAATGTGGCGAATTTCAACTGCTACACTTTTCTGTAAAGTGTATCAAGTTAAAACATAGGCTGGGACCAAAATATGTATGGCCGCGTTCCTCTCCCTTATTCCAGATGGTTTATGTTTTGTGTAATACTTCCTACTGAATGTGTTGTACATATTGCTTTGCCATAAGCGTGCTGACAACTACTTCGAATCTGATTTCATACACAATCATTTTGACTTCTTGTGTTATTCGTTTCACTTTTTTTTGCCCATTTAAGCGTCTTAAACGTACAGAAAATAACATGAAAGAAATCGATCGTTGTTTCTCTACACTGGATCGTATTGGATATATTATTTCTAAAGTACAACTGTTCAAAGAAAAAGAACCTGGAACACTTGTCTCTGCTAAGGTATACTTTCAGTTGAAAATAATTTTAGTCTTTTTTTTCCAGTAACTATTTATTCCTTTTTTTTTAATTTTAAAGGATTCTCATTTCGCTTGGAGGATTTCATCATGAGCTGACATCATTTAGAGAGTACTGGACAGCTGTTTCGTCCTAGTTTTAGGGGTTTTTGGCAGTATGTACCCACCATTAGGGTTCGAACCGAGGACCTTCTGGTCACAAGTTTAGCGAGCTCATAGACCATTAGGCCAGTGGAACCCGATCGAACCAATCAAACAAAAGCTCTCTATAAAAACCAATATTTGATTCGCATTTTGCTGTGTTCTCTCTCTGACATGGTTTTGAGCTAGCTTGACGACTGCCCACAGGCATTCATTTCTTTCTTACACTGTCTATTTCTTACCACTTTCAGACGACTGATTCGTCGTTTCCAATTAGGGCTCCACTCGAGGACCGACCTGTTAAAAAAAATGTATTTTTGATAACCCTATAGAAGTACTGACTGGTTTGATATTCTCATCTGCGCTGTTTGTCCTTTGGGTAGTAAGTGATGTAAGACTACTAAATAAAGGATTTTTTCCCTCGTTTAGTTTGTTAAGCTTTCCTAAGCCTAGAAAAAGAAAGAAGGTTGAGCATGGGATAAATGAACCTGCCATGGAAAATCAATCCAATCATCAAAAAAAACTACAAAGTATCTGAAAATTATTAAGGAAATATTTTGTATATAGTGACATAATATTACAGTCACTAGTAAGAGAACAACGTTTCTAAATGCTTTTCCATGGAGACGACACCTACCTATCTAGAAAAGCCTTTATGAGTAACAATAGAATATATTAGTCATTTTAAAATTCAGATTTAGTACACTAGCGTCTACTGGATTACAAACCAGACTTGTCACATTCATTCATTCATTAACCTCGAAAGAAATGTAATCGATTCTTTTATTAGAGAATGGATACTGAACAAAGAGTACTATTTGCGATAACCCCTTCATCATCAGGCTATACAGTTATATATAGATTATAGTGAATTGATGAATTAGTGTAATGAACAACATTAATGTTGCTGTTTAAATAACATCGAATCAATAATATTCATAGATTACAGCTCACTAGTATCAACATAAAATAAGCTGAATGTCAGAAAAATTAGGAAAAATGATATTACAAATTCATGCATCAATTTATAGTCTCTACTAAACGTCAGGGCAGTAGTAAGGGCTGGACTTGTTTATTTTGCACATAGAGAACTGGTTGTTTGAAGCAAATTGCAATAGCCTCTGCTGTTTGGAGCATGCGGTGCTTCAATGTTTTTGGTAGTTTATTTGACATCCGGTAGATTATAGAGAAGGATTCTTCCACCAGATGGTTCAATATTGAAATGTTGATGATGGTTTTCACTACACCTTTAATTAGCCACAGTCGGTGATGTTCTCTAGGTACGAGAAATCAAGTTCCTACAGCAACGGCCAATATAACTCGCTTCGCTAGCGCAGTTGAATTGGTAGATACAATTGGAAGCGGCTAGTGTAGCTACTTCATCTTTCAGTCGAGGAATCACCAACAGTCGTGTCTGTCTGTCTGTCTGGATTCAACATAGAACTTGGAACCGAAGTGCATCAGTTCGAGTCACCATATTCCAAATAGCACACAGAGGTAGACAAGAAGATGAGTGAAGAGAATCAATAGAGTTTGACAAGTATAACAGTGAAACAGAATGGGTAATGGTAGAAAGGAATATGAAAGATTACAGAGACTGAAAACGTCTGCGCTGGCCATTGACAACGATTTTGAGCCATGTCACCTATCGTCTCCAGCCATTGATTCCTAGAGTCAGTCCCGAGGGCCCCAACCCGGAAGTCTGAATCTCCCTCCCTACCGGATTCAGTTTAACTGTCAAGGATTTCATGGATTGATGAGGCCATGTTTTTGTTTGGCCACCACTTACTCATTTCCAACCTGCATCTATATCAGCTAGTAATGCCCGCCTGTCGGGGGAGGCGATGGTTAGGCATGCGTGTAGAGAATAATAAGTGTAGTTCGCTAGCATTAAAAGTTTTTTGGACTGATTTTCTTAATTTTTTCGTAATTATTTCGCTTTGTATATCACCCAGTCGTATATAAAGAGGCTTCTCGTTAACGGATAGTGAGTAGTCCTTTTCCGCTTTCTTTGTCATGTTTCTTGATAAATTTGTCGAGATAGCTATTTTCAATGAAAGTATCATATACGATGCTTAATTCATCTTCAGTTACTTCTTCTGGGCATATAACTCTAACTAACCGTGTGGCAGAGGGTCTTCACTAAATCTCTTGTGTTCCTGACAGGAACATAGCTGTGAAGATGTGTATATTGTCCTATGCAAATTTCTTATGTTACCATCTGATTTTCTTGTAAGGAGGAAATCCAGGAAGGGAATTCTCTTTTGGGATTCCTCTTCACATGAATTTCATAGCCGGATGTAATTCATTGAATTCAGTAATTGTTGTACCCCTATCCGAATCATTATCCCAAAGAATAAAGTTGTCATTCATATACTGGCAATAAAATAAGAAATTTCTGATAAGGTTGTTAAATTGTCCATTTTCTAGTTTGCTTTGAAAGAAATCAGCCAAAGTGGGACCCAAAGGGTAGTTCATCGCCACACCGTCCACTTGTCTGTAAAACGTGTCGTCAAATTTGAAATTTACATTCAAGGTACACTTTAATTACAATTCTTTTAGGATTTCAGTACGGATGCCAATGCTTATCGGTTGGTTATCCACTTATTCGCATATGTAGTTAACTGTTTCTACTAGACGTACATTAGTGAATAAGGATGTTATATCCAGAGATATCATGGTTTTGTCCTTGATATTAATATCTTTGATTTCGTCTAAGAATTCAAATACATCTTTGACGCTATATTTCACTATCTTCTCATGCAAAGGTTTGAGAATATCTACTAACCATCTAGCTAGAGCCATCGACAATTATGCATCTCATCCAACAGTTATACGACAATGCTGCACTGCATGCCAAGGAATCCACAACGGGAAACTTACGGAAGCCTTCGAAGTGAGGACGAGAGTGAGGCAAGCTGGCTGTCTACTATCGCCAAAGATCTTCCTGAGTGCAGTAGATTGGATAATGTGACAGACAACGGGCGATGAGGAAACAGGCATAAAATGGACTCAAATAAAAAACAAACTTGGAGGATCTGGACTTCGCCGATGATGATATATGTCTGATTTCCCACAAACTGGAAGATATGCAAGTGAAAAGCCACAAGCTGGCAGAAGAAGCATCCAGAGAAGATAGAACTTCAGGTGAACATAGATAAACAGAGGTGGTGAAGATTCCTGGCCAACACCAACAGCAACAACAACAACAACAGAAAACAATTAGCCAGTATAAATGGAGGGAACCCGAAAGAAACAACCTCCTTTACCTACCCACTTACCTGGGAAGCATCGTCTCAACTACAGGTGGAACTGACGAGGATATCAAAGCCAGAATCGGAAAAGCAAGACAAGCTTTCATTACTCCCAAATCTGTGTGGAGGTCAACAACACTCACCATCAAAAATCAGATCCGGATATTCAACTCCAATGTGAAGTCAGTCACTGTTACTCACTATACGGATCAGAGACTTGCACTACGCGTCATGAAGAGCATCTCAAACAAATTTCAGACCTTCATTAACAGTTGTCTTCGCCCAATACCACTCAAGATCAGATGGCCGGCCAGAAAAGATCAGCGACAGAGATCTCTGGCAATGAGCGAACCAACACATCAGGAAACGATTGTGAAACAAATAGGCAGGAAGAAATAGAGGTGGATTGGCTATACACTGAGGAAACCATCATGTGACATCACTAAACAAGCCATTGCTCGATTGGAACCCAAAAGGGAAGCAGCGAGTTGGTGGTCAGTGCAAGGGTGACTTGGAGGAGGTCATGTGAAGAGGAGATGAAAGCATGTGGGCAGACATGGAGCGGGGTGAAAACGTTGGCAGAAAACCGAAGGTAATAGAGACGCCAGCTGAAGCACTATGTTCCTCTAGGAATTAAAGAATATAATAATAATAAGTAATAATAATCTAGCTAGAGCATGGTGGGGCGAATTTTGCCCATCAAGTATTTGTCTTAACCGTACTCCAGGCTTATGCACATTTTAAGTAGGTCATACTGTCTTGGCTTCCAACTATGAGAAGCAGATTTACATTATCACATTGATAACTTATATAAAGTTATAAACACTGAAACTTAAATGAACACAATCAGCTTGCCAGCATTTTGCTTCACCTACTGAACTACGAGCTGATAATCTTACTCCACACACACACACACACACACACACACACACACACACACACACACACACACACTTACAGAGCGTTTTACAAAGCCATTATAAAAATAAAAACAAATGAAGATAAGAAACGTTTCATTATTTAAACGTAGATTTTTCAAATAAAAGCCTGGATTATATTAAAATTCGATTCAATGACCGAGAAATTACTAGTCTGTTACTCTAACAACTAAGCTAATGAGAAAAGCATTAAAGGACTAGTAGTGGTTCTCTGAGCCAAATCACACTCTCAAATAGTCGAAAAACTAACAAAATCTTTTGTTCGTTTATCGGATTTTTATTAATTTAGGAGTATATGGATTATGCAGAATCACGTCGTGATCAAGATATGGAAGAATTAGCCAGTAAAGTGAGCACAATGGCTACTAGTTGTTTGGGTAAACTTGAAGAAGCTCTGTTCGATACAAACACTGGGCATAGAATGGAAATGTATCCTATTTACAAACGATTTGAATCAACAATATTAACGAAACTCCTTGAAGTAAGTTGAAAAGTATTGCTATTTTCTTTAATAGGCGAGATTAAGTATCTGTGTGGTTGAGTGGCTTAAATTCCATTTTAGTTTGTTTATTACATGTATCACACAGTGAAACAGTATTATTTACTGGATGACGTATATTAACATGAGTGGCTTAAAAACTCGGTTTTTCCTGTCAATTTATCGTGGGTTAGATTCCCATTCTGCTGTCAGAAGTCGAGTAGGTTGAACTGATTTGAATATCCAAGTAGATGGGTTCGGCCGAAAAAGAGTGAAGCGAAAGTCGGATGTTTGGATCACCTTGATCTGTCTACGAAGTGTTACTGGTTGATGTGACTGGTAACAAACTACTCATATCAATTATTCGGTAGTATATATAGTTCTAGTGCATTCATGTCTGTTATCTTGATTGCCACTTAGGGTATTATGTACTCGTCGCTAAATTATTGTTATGTACTGGTCGAGAATTTAATAGTCCTGACGCAAGAAAGACGGAAATCAGAAGACCACTAGGTTTGCGATGATACTTCTATTTTCCAAACACAAGGAGAATCAATATGTCACACAAGAGTGTGAGAGCAAAATATATACGAATGTCCGAACAAGTGTGTGAACACAAGTGTGTGAGCGAATATTCAAAATGAACAAATCAATAGACAGTCTTAACATGATTGGCTAATTATAATGGAATATCGATCCATATATATACCTAGCAAATATAACAGACATGTCAAACAAACACACATATTATATATAATATAAGGGGAATATACATTGTTAAAGGAGACAGGTTCATCAAAGTGAAATGGTCACAGACTAAGAGAGCAACAGAATGAGAGACCACCATACACCATATATATATGGATACATATCAGGTATGAAGCAGATTGCATATTGTGACCTGAATAATTTGGATTTCAGAGGAAAATGAAGTAATAGGTAAACTGCAAATTGAGAATTTGATTGAAGCCGATCGATTCTAGGTAGACAGTTGTGTTTTTATGCTACTATTCTGTTGTTATTTAAAATCCTTCCTTATTATTATTTCATCTGGAATGGATACAAATTAGGGGAGTACAGGAACCCTGAAGAGAGCTAAACGTTTAACCTTATTACATGGTTAGAGGTAATCGGTGAGAAACCCTAACTTACCTAGGTTTCGCGCTTGTTATTTCTTGTCAACGAGGCGTATCTGTAAACTTAAAGGAATTCATGTCCCTCTGAGAATTGAACTGGGTATATATTCAGCAGTGACTGTTAATAAATGTCATCAAAGATCAAATGTTTTACAATAAAAGCTGATTTGTCACTTGTATTTCCCATTTTTCCATTTAAATATCATTCACATTGTAAGTATTATTATTATTATTTAAACCAAGTTTGCAGTTAATCCAAATGAACAGTGAGAACTTACTTAATCAATAATAGTCTGTCAACCGAGGCCATCCTTAATAACCCTATCATCAAAATGTAAATAGAAAAGTAGATTTTTTTTGTAAGCTGATATCACTGAAAGAACTTAGAAGGGAAAAGAACAAAGAAGTTAATTGGTGGATGATGACTAATAGGGGGAATCCAGCATGCGCATTTTCGCTCCATTTGGGACTCATCATCTGGATGCACCTACATTCCCCAGTGAGTGATGGTGTTCCCACCAAGGCTCTCACCCAGCGCCTATTAGTTTCAAATGCAAGAGTGTCGCCCACTAGATCACTTAGGCCACAACAACCACCTCTTAAGCCACGGGTCTTGAGCACTTCGGTCCAATCAATCGACGGGAAAATCAAAAATTTGAATCATAGAAAAGAATAAAGGATTGAGTTTTTTGTCTGATTTGATACCATTCAGTAGTACTCACTGGCATATCTCATCAAGGTGATAACGGTTCACATATCATCAATCAGTTTGTCTTTCTCATACGAATAATATGAAGAGGAAAGACGCTAGAAGTTAAAGTTATGTCATACTTCAGTGTCCACGTCCTACAGCAGTCATAAAGTAGAACAAAGCTGACTAATGCTGTCAGACTTATAAGACTTATTGCCAAACCACTCAAATTCTTTACATCATGATTGGACTAGAACTGGATAGTATTTCTTCTAATATCTGTGAATAATTTCAATGTTGACTTCATCATGAACCACTATCATTTAGCAGTCACTGAAGAACAGGGAGCACTGGATGACTGCTTCGTCCTAGCTTAGGACTCTTCAGTGATTCACATCTACAATCTTACCAAGGAATGAAACTGTTCTCTTAAACTGAAGGTCTCAGGTGCGATCCTTGGCGGGATCATGTATGTGAGCTACTGAAGAGTCACGGACTAGGACGAAACACTCATCCAGTGCACTGTGGTTTTCAGTGACTACTAAGTGATGCTGGTTTGTGACGAAATCCATCCTGAAATTAATTTATATCCTAAAAAAAAACCATTATCCAGATATAAACTTTATGGAATCATAGTTTAGGTTCTTTTAAAGGACCATTATATATTTAATAATAATAATCTACTGCTTTCTATGTTGAGACATAGCCTACTGATGATGTATAGTCTTTATTAAACCAGATTGTAGATCCTCTTAAACTGATACTCAGTTAAGTTCATAAATTTTGTTATCATTTCTCTGTTTTATACCTTTTAGGTTGTACTTAAAAATATGCAATCATTTGTCAATGCACTGGGTGGAAAACAACCCTTATTTTATATTGATGTCTTACTGGTCAATTCTGATGTTGTACTTTATCCAGTTAATGCTGATCTCTATAAATGGATGACACAGACACTACGCGGATGTATTGAAAGGTGAGAGATCTTTCATGATATATATATGTATATGTATACAGACAATCGGTATGAAGCCCTAAAACTTAAGATTAGTTCTTCCTGTCACCTGTCAGCCAGGCTTATCTACAATTCTGAAAGAAGTAATGTCCTTTCTGAAATTTGAGTCTCTATCATTCACTGCTACTGTCAGGGAAGTTGCCACTGAGCTTTACTCGACTCCTGTAGAACTATGCTGGAAAGATTTTATATGTATGCATGTGATATAACTTTAACTCCTGTATTAATTATATCATTTGTAGTGTACCTATTGTAGTTGCTTTCATATATTGGCTAGTGAATGTCTGTCTATCTGTTTTCAACATGGAACTTTGCAAATATGTGCGGAAGTTCAAGTCTCCACATTCTATGTAGCACACTTAGCAAGAGAAGAATGTACAAGAAATGCATAATAGAGACAGTAAACAGAGGTGTGAAACAAAGGAATAGTAATAACGAAGAACAAAACAGTTTCATTAGAAATCATAAGTCACAAGGAGCGGATGCATCTGCGCCACTGAGAACGATTTTGAGCCATATCACCAATTGTCTCCAACCACTGATTTTTACCGTCCCGAGGAGCCCAACCAGTCCGGAAGTCTACACCTCCCTACGTGACTGGCTTAAACTAAATGTTGTGGATTTCATTGACCGATGAGGCCATGCTTTGGTTTGACCGCCGCTAGTTGGCTCTTTTCCACCCTGACCATATGTCAGCTAACATTGCGCGTTGAGGAAAGCGATGACTAGGCATACGTAACACATGTCCTAACCATCTTAGTCAATGTAATTTCACAGCCTCGTCGGTTGATTTCCCCTCCTTAGCTAGCACTTGACCGATGTCTACCCTGAATATCGCTCACCTTATTATACCACTTGACACGAGAGATAGAACGCAGGCGCCTATGACTAAAGACAGCTAATCTTTTTATGTCTTCCACTCTCAATGGCCAGATCTCACAGCTGGTCATAGAGGAGGACGGAGCGGAACGATGAGCACTACACCCGCCCTCTTACATAACCAACATCTATCAAACTGCCTTAGTAAAATATGTCGGAACAATGAAGTATTCAGAAAATGTAAGTAAAAAGCTAATGACTAGTGATTTGATCCTACATAGGGAGGTGTAACTTGACCGGCTAGGCTTCAAAGATGCTAAACATCAAGATTTAAAAATCTTGCTTATCATAAGTCGAAGGCAATTACATTGGTGTAAATGAAAATTTTAACTAATCACCTTCGGGTTGCTCACTTCTTCACATTTGTCTAGTATCAACAACTTCTCTCCTCTAATTTTCTCTGAATTATTTCGAAATGTAGAAATTTGAAGAGATGCACCTGCATTTTATGCTGTCGAGGAAGGCGATGACTAGGCATATGTAACACATGTCCTAACCATCTCACTCAGTCGATGTAACTTCACAACCTCATCGACTGATTTCCCTTGCTTATCTAGAACTCGATGCCTAACCTCAATAAGTACATTCAAAATTTGCAATTAGTTGTGTTCTCTGAGCTGGTTGGTTTAATTGAGGATATCAGTTTGACTAGGATAATGTCAAAATATTAAAAATACAGGAAATACCAAAAGTGTTAGAGGATTCCTAGAAGTTTGGTATTCAAACGAATATGCGATTAACAAACATATTAATATAGACCAAATCTACACAGATGGTTACCAGGAGACGCAATTGTATCTATCATTCATGGAGAATTTAAATCAGTTCATTTTATTTAGTATACAATTGGTGGATGGTGGCTAGCAGTGGAATCCAGGATGCCCATTTCGTCCTATTTGGGACTCGTCATCTGGATGTACCTGCATTTCTCAGTGAGTGATGATGTTCCCATCGAGGCTCGAACCCAGTACCCATAGTTTCAAACGCCAAAGCGTTATCCACTAGACCACTTGGGCCACGACAGCCGAGAGCTTCGGTCCAATCAATCGACGGGAAAATCAAGAATTCAATTCAACAGTTCATTTTATGCTAAATTTTGCGCTGAAGATGTTGTCCAGAAGGACAACAAAAGCTTCGAAATTAAACCAAACAGCTCAGAGAATACAAATAATTGCAAATCATCCATCTGAGCTACAAATCTTCTCTATTACATATGTCATTTTCGCCTTATTGAATTAATATTCACTCCGAATACAACTAAAACCAAGGCTGATAGTTCAATGTTCACTTTGGTTTATTTTCCAACTCAAAAGTGAATTTGATTCCACCTATCTATGCTAGACTGTAGAATCAAACAAGAATTTATAGAAAAATGGACAAATTTCTAATAAATCCCACCCCAAAATCTGTAAAGCTAAAATGTTTTTTTTCGTATAACCGGGCCAGAAGCCTAACTAGTAAGTCAGAAGATTTGAATAATGAAATCATCAAACAAATAAGAAAAAATATTACTAGTGAATCACTGCCAAGGAGACATTCATGAAGAATAAGTGTAGTAAGGCAATTAATATAAATAATAAGGAATTCAAGTCGTTGATAGTACTGTTGTAACAACAGAAGACAAGGGCGAAGCAACAGATCGTTTTATTATGAAAATCAACACGTATTTATACATCTTTCAACTACATTATTATAGACAAGCGCAGTCATCTGATTGGTTGTTTAGGTAGACAAACGCAGGCTTCTGATTGGTTGTTTCGGGATTCCTTGACAAATAGAGTTCTCTATCTGCGAATCATATTTTGCCACGTTAACTTTGCTGTGATTGGTTGTTGACTCAGGCTTGTTCATATTTTCTCACGGCCCATATTAGTGACCTAGACCTTAACGTAGATTAGTGCCAACCAATCGGCTAGCAGCCTGCTCTCACCACACTGTCACATAAAAGAAGAAAACCTCAGAAGTTCTGCATAGGATTTTTTAATAAAGCTGGAATTGAGGTGGCATTTAAACCAACCAGAGACAAACATTGTCGACTTTAGAACTAATAGATCCAATTAAGCAGCGAATAATATAATTTACGAAATATCGTGTAATGACTGTGAGGTCACTTACACACGTAAGAATATTTGATTGGAGTTAGGAATTTTATTGTATTCAGCTTGACTCCACACAATATTTTAGTACAAGCATGAAATTTCAAGCATGTGATAACGGTAGCCCAAATTTAGCAGTGTGACCATTATGAAGACAATTGCAGCGAAGAAAATTTTCTTTTCGACGAAGTCATCATCAGCTAGGCTGTACATTCGTGTATTTATATCAAATGGATGGGAAAGTTCCAGAATAATTTCCGGTTAAGGGTCAAATTAATAAAAATTACAGTCAGCAATTAAAAAATGCCATAATAAACATTACCCAGCCTGGTTAGGAAAAGGAGACCAAAAGCGTGTATACAGTTCAGTGATAGAACATCTGGTCAATTCAGGACATTCTGCGCCTTTCGAAAAATCTTTCCAAGTAATATACAAGATTCAATCAAACCTATCAAAGGGAGTGAAATCAAGACATCTGGGCATAGCCGAGGCACTAGCTATACAAAAGCTCAAACCCACGCTTTGTATACAAAAGAAATACGTCCAACCCTTGTCCCTGCCATGGCCATCATAAACAGGCAATTTCTTTAGTAATGACTATCCCATCGCCTTTCTTATCTAAACTTCCTGTTTATTCATGTTATTTTAAGTTTTTCTTAATCTCTGTTTACACTATCATATTTTCACACCCGAACTTCCCGCCTCTTTTGTCATTTTACTTTTTCTACATATTTAATCCCTGATTACACAAACAATTATTCATCACATTAGTTCTTTTCCAAACATCCTGTCTATTTTGTTATTTCTACATTTCTAACCCCTAATTGCACAATGTCAATCTTCTTAGCTATCATGATGCTACTTTGTTTGTTTTATCCATCCCCCTGTTTATTATGGCATTCTAATTCCTAATTTTAATTTTTATTAATTTGACCCTTGACCGGATATTATTCTGGAACTTTCCCATCCATTTGATATAAATACACGAATGTACAGCCTAGCTGATGATGACTTCGTCGAAAAGAAAATTTTCTTCGCTGCAATCGTCTTCTTAATAACTCCTATGACCCAAGGGTAACCATTGATATTAGGTGGGCGTCGGCCAGGTATCAAAACCCGGGCCTTGCGCATGATCTGCAAGTGTCTTAACTTCTGTCCCTTGACGCACAAAGCTAGGATGACTGACTGTGCTTGGTTAAAGTATTTAGGAAACAATTTTAGTCATTGGAATGCATTCACTTACATGTAATCACACAATCAGTTTGGATAGGGGAAAAGTAATAAAATGGGATAAAATTAGGTGGAGGGAAAGATATATATAGAGAGAGGTTCATGTAACGATGGCCAACGTAAGGAAAATGGACGTACAAATTTCTTCTGAACAAACAGGCTTGGCTTCTTCACGTGGATTCCTACTGCTTCAACTGTATTATTTAGAAGACGAACTCGTAAAACAAAATTAGTATACTTGTGAATCTTAGGCACTGTGGTAGTAAGTGTTAGTAGTAAACAAACTAATATGGAAAGCAAAATTAAGCTTCCTGACTAATTTACCGGTCGGTCAGTGATTCCACTCATCAACCAGACTGAATTATTTTAGAAAGATACACGACAGGGTTGACCTGAGACAAGAAAGTGAATTATGGCCATTTAATTAACCAGAGGCGTGATGGCCATTTCATTTGAGATTCCAGAATAATTATGTGGAAATTATTTCACAAGACTATTTGGGATCTGTGATTTCAAACATCCCACCCACATGGTTTCGTTGACCATATGGATATGCAAATTCAACTGGGAATTCACTATGGGTTATATCCGATTAGAATTGGTGTTACCACTTGAAGGACTATGACGAAGAGGATTTGATGAGCTACAGGTGACGTGGAATTATCATATTGTGAATAATCAATTATGGATAGGATAGGATAGAATTTGAGTTACACTTTGAACCTCTTGTGGGCATCATCACTTATCTTTCACTAT